AATATCTTTCCCCCTGAGGTGAGGTTGGCCTCCACTCTGTGGGCCTTCCAGAAAAGCCTTAAGACCTGGCTCTGCTGATTAGCTTGGGGATCTGATGGGGGCTCCTAGCACTGGGAGATCCAATGTGGGTGAGGATGCTCTCCCCATCTTTTAACTTTGCTTTGTACTTTTTAAGCTGTTTTTATGCTTCTTACTTGTAAGCCGCCTAGAGTCACTTATATAGTGAGATGGACAGCGTATAAATTTGATTAATAAATAAATAAATACATAAATAAAATAAGTCACCTTGATAAACCGAGGACGTAAAGGCTTCCAATATTGCTTACAATCCCACCCCCTTTAGCCTTAGTTCTCAAAGAAAGAAAGAGTTACCTGATGATAAGATCAGCCTGGTCGATTTCTTGTCCACAGCTGCTGTGTCGTAGGATTCCACCATTGCCAATGAGGGCACATTTGTTATACTGGAAACCCGCCAGAGGGGATCTCTAAAGGTGTTGTGAGAGTGAAATGGGTCAGGAAGGAAAAGGGGTTAAAAATGCATGTGTAGACAGCTGATTACAACCATTTTAATAAGTTGGACCTTAATTTATTCTTCAAGTAAACTCATGGCAATCCTTTAGCAAGGATTCACTGAAATCAGTTTATTTCATTACATTTCTCCAAAGGCAAGTGACCTGGGATTTGACCCACTGTACGCAAACAATGAAATATTGCATTTGATATATAAGGTCACTCAAATAACAATAAGAGGGGCATGTGGTCAAACCTATCTAGGAAATTGCAATCCCACAAGCTGCAAAAGAAAAGATAAGAGTTTATTGGCCATTTAGCAAGCACCACAGTTTTTCCCAGCTATTGATGTAGATGGAAAACAACACTGTAAATGCGAGGATCATAATGTTAATCCAGCTGTATCTTTGTACCACGTTAGACAGAGTTCTAATCTGGGAAGGCTCTGAATCAAAGGATTAAAACTCAAAGTTGATCATTGGGAAAATACAAAATGTAGATTTAAGTTTTGAAAATATTACCTTCATGTCCAGGTGGCTAACCAATTATTCAGAGGTGAACACAAGGTCCAGTGTAAAACCAAATGTCTGTGTAAAGCCCAAGGTCACCTGGGACAACCCCATGGCTGCCATGAGATCATGAACTCCCAAGATCCAGGAGCTTGCAGAGGGAGAAGTTTGTATAACGGCTAGATCCCTCCCTTGTCTCTATCCCCCACCTTAGCAAACAGGCACCCAGACCTGCTGACCTCAGGGACAAAAGACCTGACCACAAGTAAGATGTCTTTATAGATTTGCACCACCTCCCCGCCTGGTGTTTCCCTCCCACCAAAAGCAAAATACAAATTCTCTTACTTCTGAAAGCAGATTTACCAGCTCAGAATACGCAGTGATATTTTTCCTTCGGTGACCATCTAAATGTATTGTTGATCCCAGCGGTGTATTTTCCTTGGTTCCCACCAGCAAGTAGGAAGCATTGCAGCACTCTCCTAATTCTGCCCTGAAAGAAGGTAGCAATAGGGGTTAATTTGAAAAGGATCGTTTATTCTCCTGAAAGCAATGGAAAGGATGAAAATAAACCAAGTAATGTGAGGGACCAACTCCATTCCAACTCTGGTCTGTCTGAAAGGATCTCTGATCTCTCACAAAACAGTTTAAAAGTGGCCTGTGGTTGCTTTTCCTTCTGCAGGCCTGGGAATGCTGAGAACTTGCAGGACACTCTGTGAACCAATCCATGTACCTTTCACTGACAACTTGAGTGTGCAAAGAACATTGTTTAATCAGTACCCCACTCTGAGCAGCCACCAGTTGTGGAACAACAAGAATCTCCCCACTTCACACAGAAAGGAAATAAGATAAATTGCTGGTCTGCCCACCTCTCCGCCGTCTGATAGCTTGCTGCCTAGCTGTTTGTTTGTCTGTTTCTCAATCTGACTGATTGCTGCGAGGGGCAGATCTCTGGATGCAAAGCCACCTTTCCTTCTTTAAAAGCCTCTTAGAATTGTGGCATTTTTGCAACCTGGCCCTTTTCCCAAGACTTATAACCACACCTATGTGTTGCTGCAGGGGCTGGAGTGAGACCGATTCTATATACCAGCCCCAGGAACAAGACCCTTAAGCTGGATAGGGGAAGAGCTCCCATCAGTGGGAAAATAGGCCCACAAGCTTTGCAGAACTACAGCACTGCAAAGGAGATAAAAACTCAGCTTCGCTCCAGGCTCCCATAAACCAGGATTGAACCAGAAACAAGTTGGTTCAGCTTCCTAAATGAACCAGCATTATGAATTTGGATGGGTGCAGAGAGACTGCTTCTGAAATATGATGAGGAAACTTTTATAAGAATCTTTGGGAGTGGGTGGCCATAATGAATTTAATTCATCATCATCATCATTCTATTAATAATAAAGCTGTCCTATGGTTAAATTAATAGACGACCACACAAACAGATACCTTTTGGAACAGGTGATTCAGGTGAGTCGATAACATTCTTACCTATATTCCATCACGGCTGTAGCATTGGGTTCCCAAGGGCATTCCTGAATGAGTGTCAGCTGTGTCATTAGTCCCTTGTCCATTAAGTATTTCCAGCTTTCAGATAATGGGACCCGATTCTCGTTACTATCAGTAAGACAGAGAGATGAAAAAACATTCTCCTAGCATTCTTCCAATGGGACATGCTTTCCCAGGCAAGGCAGAGTGGTAATGCATTTGGGATCTAGCGTCTCCAAACCAGTCCTGAAATCCCAACATAGTCACCTACAAGTTTCTAAGCATCTTGGTCTCATGAAATAAGAGGAAGGCAAAGGCGGGGGGGGAGTATTAAAATATGTAAAGGGAAGGAACTGATCTCATTTTATCATACACACAAGCACAAGTGTGGCATTAATCTGAAATTTCCAAGTTTTTCTCCCTCCCTAGAGGAGGCTCCTTCTCGGACAATGTATAGAAAGAGTTCATTCTTTCAGACTTCCATTCTATCTATTGATTGATTCTCTATCAAACTTCATTCAAACATCTGGTCACCATTCAAAGCTCTTTTGTTGGGATTATAGTACAGAAGCAGCAAGGGGACAGGAATGAAATTGCTGGTGAACTATTTAATTTTGTTATAGGGAGAAAAGAGATATTTTTTGTCAGTCATACTTGGATGAAATGGGGAAAGACTTACAAACATGTGGCAAAGACAACTGTCAATTGGTTTAATTACATGGCTGCAGCCACCATCTTGACTTTTTTGACCCCTTTCTCTGACCTACAGGAAGTTTATGGGACTTAACTGAGTAACCTGAACATTTACCAGACCATTGCATAATGTAAGATTTGGTACAGAACGTATATCATTAACAACGAAGCATATTATCGCCATATAGTAATAGTTTGTGTTCAATCCCACTCTTCCTGTTTATACCCAAAATATCTTCCATTTGTCTGATAAAACTCAATTACTCTATTATCAAATTAAATTAAAGGAGAAAGGACAACCTTAACAAGTTCCACAAGACATCTTGATAGAAAATAAATACAGGTAGTCCTCACTTAACAGCCATTCATTTAGTGACCATTTGAAGTTACAGTGGGGCTGAACAAAGGGACTTACAGCTGTTCTTTGCACTTACAACCATCACAGCACCCTGTGGTCACATGATCATGATCTGGATGCTTAGCAACCAGCTTGCATTTGCAATGGCTGCAGCATTCCTGGTCATGTGATCGCCATTTGTGACCTTCCCAGTTGGGTTCCAGCAAGCAAAATCAATGGGGAACTGCATGATTCGCTTAACGACCACATGATTTGCTTAACAGCTGTTGTGATTCACTTAGTGACCACTATAAAAAAGGTCATAAAATCGGGTGCGACTCACTTAACAATCACCCTGCTTAATAACAAACTTTCTGGTCCCTATTGTGGTCATTAAGTGAGGACTACCTGTAGAGAATTCTATTTAGATTCATAAAACCTTTATATAATTCTAGTGGAGGTCATTTGGTAAAGTTCCTTAACTTTCCCCCCCCCAATTTTTCTTGGTTTTCTTTTTTTAATTTTTCCATGAAGCATAAGTGGTAATATAACCATGCCTTTAAGGCATCCTAAAGTACAATTGCTCAAGGCATACTTCTTTATAGAAAACAACTGAAACTCATGTTGCTTCTGTTTAATAAAAAAATAGATTCTTAAATAATGTTGTATTTAATACCATCTTGGAGAAACGGGATGACATTTACTTGTAGTAACCGACAGTGTTCTGGGCCATGATCAGATATAGCAACTGAGCCTATATTACATTTCTTAATTTGTTCAATTAAGGGTCGAGATACTAAACAAATAATCTCATTCATTACAGGTCTGCTGTGAACAAGTTAAAAGTTCCCACGTATCACCAAATTATACTCCAATGAACAAGCTTGAAATACTTCCCATGTATTTGGATGGGGGATTACTGCAGCTTAATTAAGGCTCTAAAACAGTGTAGCTGACTGGGGAATTCTGGGAGTTGAAGTCCACACATCTTAAAGTTGCCAAGTTTGAAAAACACTACTCTAAAACTTTATTAAAATCTCCAGCCATAATTAACCGATCCACAGCCAAAGTAAAAAGATATTCAGGATACCTGTTGGGGGGGGGGTGGAGGCGGGGCACAACCAACAAAAGGTAAGTTATAATGCCATGACACAAATACTATAACTTGTGCATTGGTGTCAGCCATCAGAATTCAAGCATACAAGGGCAGGATTTACATCACAATTATACACACTCAGGCCACAGTGTCATTTCTGCAACTCCACGGCTTGTTATAGAGGCCATTGTTTTCACATATGTCGATTCAGTTGAGGTGTGAGTCAATTTCCCCCTACCGACTTACAGAATTTTCTAGATTTATCCAAACACTGTTTTAGCAAAGCAGCTGTAATGAGACAGGCTTTACATGACTTTAGTGATGGTCGGTAGACGCTGTGAAGACACCACAAGTCACTAATGGGGAAGCAGCCACAGAGCTTAACATCTCTTGTATATTTTTAGGCAATCAACCATTTGGGCTGGGAACCTTCACCCACCAAACTCACCTTCCTAAGAAATCCATTGTTTTAAAAAACTGATTCAGTTTCTGACATTTCAGTATTTTTTCTAACTGCTGTTTTCTAGAAAGGAGAGAGGAAAGGGGTTAATTGAATTGTATGCTTTGATGAACGCACCACTCACCCATTCCCCTTGTCTTTCCTGTTGTTTAAACAGCTCCTGAAGTTTTAAAAGCAGATTTTCAAGGCTGACCCTAATCCCTAAATAAGGATTCCTCTGCAGGTAGATGCCTTTTTGATCTAGCCAAGGACGGCTCCTCAGATGGGGAAGAATTTGCCTCAAAGGACAAGCAAACCCTCCAAACTACCCTTGGATGGAGAATCTGAGCTGATATATGCTATACCTCAAACAACAGAACTTGAACCCTTATATTAATATTGTATTTCTGATGTTTTTGGCCATTTATCTGAGTTCCTCTTGGAACCACAGCATGTAAAGATTAAGTTCACCTATGGAGCTAAGCCATGCTTTTTTTAAGCCTGGCTTATTGGATAAAGCTCAAGAGCAGGATTCCTGCAAAGTCCTAAGGTGTTGTAGAGAACCACAGAGATGATCTTAGAGGAGGAATGTGACAGTTAGCAAAACATGATTTAAGCCTGGGAAAACAAGAAAATGCTATGTTATGACCTTAAACTGGTTCTAACTTGACTTTTGTATACAAGGGAGGGAAAACACCATCAGGCTTTCAAGATTCTGTTACTATAGAGTTCTTGGTGCTCTCTGAGCTGGGTTGGTTCCTTGCAGACATTTCATTACCCAGTTAGGTAACATCATCAGTGCAAGTGGGTGTGAGGAACAAGCCCCACACCCACTAACTCTGATGATGTTACCTAACTGGGTAATGAAATGTCTGCAAGCAAGCAATCTTCTACTAGAGCCTGTTACTATAGCCCACATCAATAAAGTATAATTTCAGTATTTCTTCTGGACCGTGTTTTCTGACCTGGTCTACCTCAAATAGCAGTGCTTAAGGTTCACAAAACTCGCTCAGAGCCAAACATCAGATACCACTTTCTTGTGGCAAGATTACTGCATGCAAAAAGTTGGAAAAGCAATGAAATGCGTACAATGGAAACTGGGATCATAAAATTAACTGAACTTGTAGAAATGGTGAAGCTGACCACTTTGGTCAGAGGAAAAAAATGATAAAGACTTTTTTAAACTACTGGAACCCTTATATGGACTCTTTGCTGAAAGAAGAAAAAAATGAATGGATGATTTCAGGATTTGGGGATTAAAAATGATACCAAGAGGTTGGGGAAATGTTTAAGATGATAATTACTCGATAGAAAGAAGGGCAGAAGGCACAATTGTATGGGGTTTTTTTCTTTTTTTAAAAACATATTTCTTGTTTCTCTATTTCTTATTTTCTATCTTTGTTCTTGCTTGTTTTGTGAGAAGGACATCAAATCCCCCCCCCCCCCCACGTTAATCAG